GCGCCAGGGGTGTTGTTTCAGGGACATGTTGACCTAAACTTTTATTGTGCTTCATCTTCTGACTCTCAGCATATTGTATCGAGTGAAACAAGTTAGATGTGTTCCCACCGCTAGTTAGAACGACTCTCCCATCACATTTTGCAGCACACTGAAACCTGCAGTTTATCAGATCTTATTAAGCCGAACCACTTCCACACCTCTGAATTAGTCTTTCCTCTTATCAAAGATGCCATCTGTTTTCTCGTCCTTGTGAAATCTTGTTCAGTCATATTCTGACGGTCATGGCCACTCATTTTGAAGCGAAAACTTAACGCACGTTGATTAGCCTAGCCTGCTACGCTAACTCCTTCTGGATTCGATCTCTGCGTAACATCTACGTCACCACGCACTTGTGTAGTTGTGTCGCAGCTTTTTCTGTTCAGGGTTGAAACTGAAGCAGCTGCTTCAACCCGAACAGAAAAAGAAACACGTCAGTGAAACGCTGTAATCCTATCGAAATATGGAAAATGTGCTTAAAACTCATATCCTCGTTATTGAATAAAAGTATATCGTGAGATGTATTGAATTATTGTCCAGCACTAGTTCATCAAAATACTCATCTTACAGGAACTGTGTTTTAGGGCTCCCTGAAGAGGATTTATTTTGCACACCTGTTTGTGTGTGTGTTGGAGCGCCTCATACAGGCCAGCTGTAGTTCTGCAGCTTTTGTTTTGTTGGATGAAAACATTTGTTTGAACAATATTTTCTTTTCGAGGTAAAAACTCATTTTGGAAAGACTGCTGCTCGTGTGGACGAGGTCGTAGAGTACACTCAGTTCTGCTTAAGTTACTGCAGGAAACAGGACTGGAGGCTTGAGGCAGCTCAGCTGCAGTTAGGTCCTGGTCCTGACCTAAGGTCCTCCAGGCTCCATCACAGGAGGAGATGGTTCAGTGTTTGACGTGAATAATTAGTGACATGATGGAGGTCTTCCTTCAGAACCAACGTTAAAACTGAGCCGACTAATCAGACAGGAAGGATTGATCCTCTACAAATCTCAAGAATCATTCAGCTGCAATTCTCTTCCTTGTTTTAGTTGTGAAGCCACTTGTCATTTCTCCCCCTCCCTCTTTTAAACCCAGGAGAATACGTACCTGTGGAGGACATCGCTGTACCTGGCAGCCTCAGCCAGCGCAGAGTTCTTTGCCGACATTGCTCTGGCTCCCATGGAGGCTGTCAAAGTCCGGATCCAGACCCAGCCCGGCTACGCAAACACCCTCAGACAGTGTGTCCCCAAGATGTTCGCAGAGGAGGGGCTGTGGGCGTAAGTTTTCCATCCCTGACTCCTCACCCCTGCTAGGTAACGACACGCTCCTTAGATCCACCTCTGGAGGGCGCTGTTCTCTGAGCAGAGCTCCTCAGCAGCTTTCTGGCTGTACAGTTGGAGGTGCTTGAGTCATTGGCGTGTGACAGCAGTCCACCCACCCCCCTGACCCACCTGCTGCACTGGCACCATGCCGAGTAGTGTGTGAGCTCCCAGTGCTGATGGTCCAGGAGGTGGACAGTTTAATGTTGTCAAAGTGATGCTGACCTGAACCTGACTGCTTGTTTGTTGAAATCAATGTTTCCTGTTTATTAAAAAGGCTGGCGCAGCTATTAACCCACGTCGTGTGTCCAGGTTCTACAAGGGTGTGGTTCCCCTGTGGATGAGGCAGATACCCTACACCATGATGAAGTTCGCCTGTTTTGAGCGAACTGTGGAGACGCTCTACAAATATGTTGTTCCTAAACCTCGGAGCGAGTGCAGCAAGCCGGAGCAACTGGTTGTCACCTTCGTAGCCGGATACATCGGTGAGTGTCGCAACATTTAAATAATGTAACGCCACAGGAGGCCGACATACTGGACAGGTACGCTGTCCTCTGCCGCCGGCCTTCATCACTTCACAATGCATTTAATATCATCATGAGCATGAAGAGCTGATTATTGATTAGAACTGGTTTTTATACAACTTGATTTATGAACTAGTGTTAATTTTTGTGACTTCTTCAGTCAAGCAGTGTCAAAATTATACATACAGGCTCATGAATAGACACACTTCACTTATGTTTGGCTAAATGTTCCTCAGCAAGTTAAACTTGAACCTGCAGGCTTTTTGTGTCCATAAACAAGTTCTGGCTGATATTTGACTACCCTGTTTGGCAGAACCGGTGGGATTCATTTAAATTGATTTGTTAACATTAAATTAGCGTTTAATCATCCACAAATATGACTGGGGTCAGGACTTTAGAAAATCTGTTCCAGAAGTGTAATGTTGCTTTATCCAGTCAGAAACCAGTTCTGATGAGCGTCTGGACTCAACGTCCTGATGAAAAATTAGGGGGGTGTCATCTGTTATTCTATCACCAGGACCACAGTATGCTGCTGCCCACTTCAAATGTTTGATGAGGTTAAAATACCTTCTAAAACATCTGGTAGCACTTTTTAAAATGTTATGGTAGGTGTATAAATATATTTGAGTCTGTATGTATCGCAATGTCCGGACTATAGAGTGCACACGAATATACACCGCACCCGCAAGAAAGTGTACATTTATAGGCCGCAAGTGTCCACTGTAATATATTTACACAGATTTTTAAACTTTTTTTATTTAAATACTTATACAGTGCCTTGTGAAAGTATTCAGCCACCTTGAACTTTTCAACCTTTTGCCACATTTCAGGCTTCAAACATGAAGATATAAAAGTTTTTTATTTTTTGTGAAGAATCAACAAGTGGGACACAATCTTGAAGTGGAATAAAATTTATTGGATGTGTCAAACTTTTTTAACAAATAAACTGAAAAGTGGGGCGTGCAATATTATTTGGCCCCCTTGCGTTAATAATTTGTAGCACCGCCTTTTGCTGCAATTCCAGCTGCAAGTCTCTTGAGGTATGTCTCTATCAGTTTTGAACATGGAGACACTGAAATTCTGCCCATTCTTTTTGCAAAACAGCTCAAGCTCAGTGAGGTTGGATGGAGAGCGTTTGTGAACAGCAGTCTTCAGCTCTTTCCACAGATTCTCGATTGGATTCAGGTCTGGACTTTGACTTGGCCTTTCCAACACCTGGATATGTTTATTTGTGAACCATTCCATTGTAGATTTGACTTTATGTTTTGGATCATTTTCTTGTTGGAAGATAAATCTCCGTCCCAGTCTCAGGTCTCTTGCAGACTCAAACAGGTTTTCTTCCAGAATGGTCCTGTATTTGGTTCCATCCATCTTCCCATCAATTCTGACCATCTTCCCTGTCCCTGCTGACGAAAAGTAGGCCCAAACCATGATGCTGCCACCACCATGTTTGACAGTGGGGGTGGTGTGTTCAGGGTGATGAGCTGTGTTGCTTTTACGCCAAACATATCGTTTTGCATTGTGGCCAAACAGTTGGATTTTGGTTTCATGTGACCAGAGCACCTTCTTCCACATGTTTGGTGTCTCCCAGGTGCTTGTGACAAACTTTAAACAACACTTTTTATGGATATCTTTGAGAAATGTCTTTCTTCTTGCCACTCTTCCATAAAGGCCAGATTTGTGTAGTGTACAAATTTTGGTTTTGATTGTTGTCCTATGGACAGACTCTCCCACCTCAGCTGTAGATCTCTGCAGTTCATCCAGAGTGATCATGGGCCTCTTGGCTGCATCTCTGATCAGTCTTCTCCTTGTTCCAGATGAAAGTTTAGAGGGACGGCCGGGTCTTGGTAGATTTGCAGTGGTCTGATACTCCTTCCATTTCAATATGATTGCTTGCACAGTGCTCCTTGGGATGTTTAAAGCTTGGGAAATCTTTTTGTATCCAAATCCAGCTTTAAACTTCTCCACAACAGTATCTCAGACCTGCCTGGTGTGTTCCTTGGTCTTCATTATGCTCTCTGTGCTTTGAACAGAACCCTGAGACTATCACAGAGCAGGTGCATTTATACGGAGACTTGATTACACACAGGTGGATTGTATTTATCATCATCAGTCATTTGGGACAACATTGGATCATTCATAGATCCTCACTGAACTTCTGGAGTGAGTTTGCTGCACTGAAAGTAAAGGGGCCGAATAATATTGCACGCCCCACTTTTCAGTTTATTTGTTAAAAAAGTTTGACACATCCAATAAATTTCAATCCACTCACGATTGTGTCCCACTTGTTGTTGATTCTTCACAAAAAATTAAAATTTTATATCTTTATGTTTGAAGCCTGAAATGTGGCAAAAGGTTGAAAAGTTGAAGGGGGGCCGAATACTTCCGCAAGGCACTGTAGTTTACTGTACAGGTCCTTCTCAAAAAATTAGCATATTGTGATAAAGGTAATTATTTTCCATAATGTAATTATAAAAATGAAACTTTCATATATTTCAGATTCATTGCACACCAACTGAAATATTTCAGGTCTTTAATTGTTTTAATACTGATTATTATGGCATACAGCTCATGAAAACACAAAATGCCTGTCCCAAAAAATTAGCATATTTCATCCCACCAATGAAAGACAAGTGTTTTAATACAAAAAACACCAACCTTCAAATAATCATGTTCAGTTATGCACTCAATACTTGGTCGGGAATCCTTTTGCATGAATGACTGCTTCAATGCGGCGTGGCATGGAGGCAATCAGCCTGTGGCACTGCTGAGGTGTTATGGAGGCCCAGGATGCTTCGATAGCGGCCTTAAGCTCATCCAGAGTGTTGGGTCTTGCGTCTCTCAACTTTCTCTTCACAATATCCCACAGGTTCTCTATGGGGTTCAGGTCAGAGTTGGCAGGCCAATTGAGCACAGTAATACCATGGTCAGTAAACCATTTACCAGTGGTTTTGGCACTGTGAGCAGGTGCCAGGTTGTGCTGAAAAATGAAATCTTCATCTCCATAAAGCTTTTCAGCAGATGGAAGCATGAAGTGCTCCAAAATCTCCTGATAGCTAGCTGCATTGACCCTGCCCTTGATAAAACACAGTGGACCAACACCAGCAGCTGACATGGCACCCCAGACCATCACTGACTGTGGGTGCTTCACACTGGACTTCTGGCATTTTGGCATTTCCTTCTCCCCAGTCTTCCTCCAGACTCTGGCACCTTGATTTCTGAATGACATGCAAAATTTGCTTTCATCCGAAAAAAGTACTTTGGACCACTGAGCAACAGTCCAGTGCTGCTTCTCTGTAGCCCAGGTCAGGCGCTTCTGCCGCTGTTTCTGGTTCAAAAGTGGCTTGACCTGGGGAATGTGGCACCTGTAGCCCATTTCCTGCACACGCCTGTGCACTGTGGCTCTGGATGTTTCTACTCCAGACTCAGTCCACTGCTTCCACAGTCCCCCAATGTCTGGAATTGGCCCTTCTCCACAATCCTCCTCAGGGTCCGGTCACCTCTTCTCGTTGTGCAGCGTTTTCTGCCACACTTTTCCCTTCCCACAGATTTCCCACTGAGGTGCCTTGATACAGCACTCTGTGAACAGCCTATTAGTTCAGCAATTTCTTTCTGTGTCTTGCCCTCTTGCTTGAGGGTGTCAATGATGGCCTTCTGGACAGCAGTCAGGTCGGCAGTCTTACCCATGATTGCGGTTTTGAGTAATGAACAAGGCTGGGAGTTTTTAAAAGCCTCAGGAATCTTTTGCAGGTGTTTAGAGTTACGTCGTTGATTCAGATGGTTAGGTTAATAGCTTGTTTAGAGAACCTTTTCATGATATGCTAATTTTTTTGGACAGGCATTTTGGGTTTTCATGAGCTGTATGCCATAATCCTCAGTATTAAAACAATTAAAGACCTGAAATATTTCAGTTGGTGTGCAATGAATCTGAAATATATGAAAGTTTCATTTTTATGATTACATTATGGAAAATAATGACCTTTATCACAATATGCTAATTTTTTGAGAAGGACCTATATATATATATATATATATATATATATATACA